AATATATTGCTATGCTCCTAAAGAATACTTAGGGCCTACATGTACAAAAAGTTCCTGAGAAGTCAACAAAAATCATGACTATTTCCCAAGACAAATAAACACAAAAATTCAAACATATTTCAAGAAATCAAGGCTGAATATAGATATGAAGGGTTTCTGTCAAAGGTTAGAGACCTAAAACTTTAATCCCTTCCTTTTCTCCCTTTGAATAGCAACTAAATACAAAAGCCTTCGGCAATAAAATACTAAGAATACAAAATTTAAAAGCACATTACCATAACCTTCAGTATTTCCTTTAAAAAAAAAAAAAAAAAACTTTAGTATTCACTGTCCGTAGGACGAAAAAGTTACCCTGAGAGGTTTCATTTTTATCTAAACAGTCAAAATGTTTTTCTCGCTTCACAGAGAAAAAAGTTCCTAGATTTAATTTCTAATTAAAGAGGCTATTTCATAAAGAGCAGTCACTTCTAAAATTTAAGATACTAAACCTTTTGATATGCTCATAAACACCGGGACTCCCAATTATCTCTATTTTATTTTATTTTAGTACAAATTTGTGAGAAGAGTCTATTAAAAAAGCCACAAATCAAGGCTCTGAGTTTTAAACTTTTGGGTTATTTTTACACAAAAAAATATTTCAGTGCACTCCTCTAGATTTGAGTAGTCATTTCCTCATGCATCCCTCTAAAACAGACAAAATAATATACGCACATACCTAATACTAATACACACAGATATACATCTTTTTCACTTTAAAACAAGCTTGAAAGCTTTAGTTGGTAAGAATTTCTCAGAAAGTTAGCAGAATCCCTCAAAATAATCAAAACCTTAACTGTGACATCTGTTACTCTGTGTGTTAATGAGAGTCTATAGAAGAATCCAGGAACTTAAATATTCACTAAAATCAACTACTACCACATCAATGAAAAAAAGAAGAATGTTAATGGAGGATACATATCTCACAGGATCTACAAAAAGAAAAATGATCTTTTTTTTTTTTTAATTATGAGAAACTGCCTCCGCAGCATTTTCTTAACAAAGCTTCAAAACTGTAACAAAGAGCTTTTTGGAAACCACAGTAGCATTTGAAAAAATTTTCATAAAGTGTTGGGGGTACACTTTTAATGTGCTTGCTCATTTCCCAAATGATGTGGATAAAGTTAACATTTTAAAAACAGAAGTTTCTGTCCATGTATTAATTAGTTACCCATCTCAACATCTGCATGCCTTCTGACAATTTACAAAGAACTTCTACATGTATTATCTCATTTGATCTTACTGAGAAAAAAGTACAGTATTATGCCTAGAAAACCGACAAAATGCAAAGCAGGTTCATCAAATTTTCTGCACATTTCTAACTGTCTAAAACTTTGATATAAAACTTTGCAAGCCACCACTGTAGCATATTTCCAGGGATAAATCAATTCACCTAACACTAATAGAGTTTCAAAGGAGCATGTGCTGTAGATGCTATGAAACTTTCATCTTTATGCAGTTATTGTTACTAACGGACATATCAGCAATGATATATCAGAGACATAACTTTACTTATAGCTCAAGAATCTCTTTGGAGACCCAACTCAAAGACATCAACCATATGTATTTATAAAGCTGTGCCTAAGAATTTATCTATTAGGCTCACTGTCCATAGATGTGAGAGACATAAACACAAAAAATTAAATTTTTTTTCCATATAGTATCTCCCTTTTGAGAATCTCAAGTACTCTATCCTATTTGTATTAATATTATAGGGATGACACAAAAACCTAAAGCCCCAAGTCATACCAACTTCTTTTGTTTATAGCCATTGCACATAATTTGTTCATGTATGTGTCCAGCACTCCACTCACCAATACAAGACTAACTGATCATCAAAATAATTCTAAGAGCACTCTGTACCTAAGCGTGGCATTAAGCTATCCACAATAACAAAGCCACTTTGCATAATATTATAAGCAGGTAAAAAACAACAATTTCAGTATCAAATTGAAACACAGTTTATTAATGGACTTTTAAATGGACTTACTCAAAGTTCTTCCTGGAACTTTAAGGTGTTAATCTTGTTGCTTAGCTGAAGTTAATAGAGCTATAATAAGTAGCAAGACCCTCAGATTTGCTCTATCTTGCGGTAGCACCTCCTGCTGGACAGCATTTAGAGTTCTTCATGTAAGCAGAAGAAGAGTATTTTTGAGGCAGCTTCTCCCAGATGACTGAATGGGGAGAAGGATGGACCCTTCAAAGCTAAAAGAAATAGGGCCCTGTCTATCACTTATACCTCTTAAAAAGAAAATCTAGCATAGGTACGACTCTTTTTAATCTATCACTATTCTGGTTCCATAAAGACCTGCCTGAAGTCCAAAGTGCAACATGCTTAAATAAAGCTTCCAAAATTATCTGAAAACTACCTTTAAAAGCCTTCAAAATCACTCAAGCAAAAGACTTTATTACGGCCAGTCAAGCAATGACAGTCATATTGCAAATACCATTACGTTAACAAAAGCAAAATTCTGACATAAAAAAAAAAAAGCCCTGGAATATTTTTAACATATTAGCCAGAAGTTTGTGTTTTGAGAATTTTCTGCACTATTACTATGCTCCTTTTAAGGACAGTTGTCTATCTACACAAGTTTTAAGTACAGAAATTTTTTGAAACAAGAGTATGACTGCACACAAAAATATCCTCGCTGCCATTAAGAAGTATGTCTTGATATTTTAAAATGTATTCTGCAGACATTTTAAGTACCCCCTAATAAGCTAGTATTAAGCCCACAATGTAGAGTCCATATACAAGTGAAGACAGAAATAAAGAATAGAAAGAAACTTACCAAAATCAGTAAAAAATGTAGTAACAGTTTCCTACAATGCTGTGAAACCAAGTAAATTGTGAAACTTAAGAAAAAAGGGGGGGAGGGGGCTACTCTTCAAAAACCAAAAGCAAAACTGACCTATTTATTTCTAGTGCCCAAATGTGAGACAACACCAGATGTAAACAAAACAACATAAACACTGAAAAGTACACTTAGATGTCTTAGCTCCAATTTCAGTTCCTTACCAGGCCCTCAATAAAGCCAGAGACGTTCATGAGTATCCTCTCTAAAAGAGATATTCTAGCTCCCTGCCCTAAAGAACTCCTATAAAGTGTGTCTATGAAAAGGCTTCCTTCCTAGAGTGCACAGCTGCTTTAAAAAAAAAGAAAAAACTTTCACCAACCCAAATTAATCTGATTCTAATATTCAGCTATCAATTATTAATACAGGAATGTTCTCCCTTTAACGTCCCCAGCTAAAACATCTACATTCCTGACACCTACCATGAACAAAAAATGCACCGCTTACACCCCAGCTATGGGGCAAATCTCTGAAATCCAAAACACAGCCACAAAGTTCACTGTCAAGGCCAATGCTGAGGCCCACACACGCCCGGACCTCAACTCACATCTGAAATTCCAGAAAGCCACACTTGCAGACATCATTTAAAAACAACACAATGTGGACGTGCAGAGTGAGATCCTCTACTTCAAGACCTAAACAAAGAATATTTCAACATATGCCCTGAATATGATGACACCGGATTCACCAATGAAAATAAAACCTGCCTACCATAAGCAGCCCTACCCTCATCTCAACAACTCAACTACTTAGAAATCACTCTCAGCACATCTGCACCCTACAACCGGCGTGTGGCCTTCTCCGGGGGTGCAAGCCACAGACAAAGTTGAAACGAGACATTCTTCCCCTGATGCCCAATCTCGGTATCAACCCCTCCCCTACCAGGGCCACCTTGCTGCTACCCACCATAGCGAACGTGGTCAGGGGAAAAAAAGAAATCCTAACAGCACCGCTCAGCAGAATAAAGAGACCAAAGAGAGGATGACGAGAAGTGTTGGGAACTGCGTGCACGACGGGGCTGGACCAAACGGAAAGAGTCCCACTCCGCGCGCCCCTCCCCCCGGCGGGGGCGCGGGCGGGGGAGGGGCGGCCGCGGCCCCTCTCGGAGCGGCCTGCCGGCCCCGGCCCGCGCGGGGTCCCGGGGGCGCCCCGCGGCCGCGGGCGGCGGGGGCGAGTGCGGGAGGGCCGGCCCCGGGGTGAGGGGTGCAGGCAGACTCTCCGGAATAACAAGTTGCAGAAGAAGAAGAATAAGCGGAATTTCCCCAACGCTGCTCCGGCCACCCAAGACAAATGCACCAACACACACACACACACACACACACACACACACACTCGGGCCCGGCAGCGTCAGCAGCCGCAGCTTTTTTTTTTTTAAACCAGATCCCTCAGTCACCAAACAAGATGGTTTTCCAAAAAAAAAAAAAAAATTAATTAAATAATCATAATAAAAACTTCCCCCCGACAGCATCCCGAAGGGGGGGGGGGGGCAGGGTGGTGAAGGAGCCAAAGGGACCATCCCCGGGCCGAGGGACAGCCGAGGGGGCGGACGAGGCTCTGCGCCCCCCGCCCCCGCCGGCGGCCCCCCTCCCCGGCCCCCCGCCGGGACAATGTGACGCCCCCTCCCCGCCACCCCCGACGCGCCGCCTCTGTCACCCGCTTCGGCCCAGCACTCTGCGCCCAGGCTCCCGAGGCTGCTCATAAACTTACTTCCAATTTATCCTGGGGAGGGGTGGAGGGCAGAGGGAAGGAAGGGGGAGACAAGGTTTTTCCATTGTCTTTTTTTTAGGGGGGGAGGAATAGGAAGGGCACGCAGGGGGGCGCCCCGAAGGGGAAGTTATTGCTCAAATCTCAAGTTGACTGAGGGGTCCTGACGAGAACACCCCCCTTTCCCTCCTCCCTCCCACACACCCCTCCCCTCCCCCTCCCTCCCCCCCACAACAAACTCCAAGCAGGCAGCCCCAGTTCCTCCCAGAGACAAACACCAGAGACAAGACAGAGACGGGGAGAGGGGGAGAGGGGGAGAGGGGGAAGGGGGGAGGGAGGGGAAAGAGAGCTACTCAAGAAAAAAAGAGAGTGAGGAGAAGAGAGAATGGAAAAGCTGGGATACTGCACCCTCCTGCTGCTGGCTGGCTGTCCCCCCTGGCAGCTGGAGGCAGGAACTCTGAGCAGTAGAAGCAGGAGGAGGAGGAGGAGGGAACTCTTCTTCATGGGGAGGGAGGGAAGAAGCTGGAGCTGCTGCTGCTGCTTCTGCTGCTGCTCTGGGCCTCTCGCACTTTTTAGATATTAGTGTGTTAAGATGGTAGGTTGTTCCCTTCTCCCTCCTCCTCCTCCTCCTCTCCTCTCCCTCACTCACTCTCTCTCTCTCCCTCTCTCTCTCTCTCTCTCTGGGCTGTTTCTTTCCTCCTCTTCCCCAGGCAAGGGGGGGTGGGGAGGAGGGGGTGGGGGGAGGAACTGGATCCTCCTCCTCCTCCTGGAGAGACACACACAGGCCCCGGGCCGGAATAGGGGTGGGGGGGAATCAGAGCAGCAGGAGAGAAACTGTGGGAGACAAACAAGCCCAACTCTTCATCCTCCTCCTCCTCCTCTCAGCAGCAGCAGCGAGCACCACCAGCCCATTCACCACCCGGCCCCGGGCCGCAGCACCTCCGCCGCCTCAGCCCGGGGATCCCTCCGCCCAGGCCCAGACACACTCGCCCGCGCGGGAGCCCGCCGCGCGGCCCCGCCGGCCCGCCGCCGCCGCCGCCGTGCGCGCCCCCGCCGCTCCCGAGAGCCGGGCGAGAGGGACTGGGGCTGGGAAAGCGGGGACGAGGGCGGGGGGGGGTGGGAGAGAGAGGAGGCGCCGGGGTAGAGGGGCACGGCGGGGAGGGAGGGGGCCGCCGGGCGGAGTTGTACGGCGGCCGGCCCGGGCCCCCGCGTCTCGGCCGGCGGCTCTCGGGCCGCCCGGGCCCCCCCCCACCCGGGGCGACGGGGCGGCGGCGGGGGGGGCGGCGGCGGGGGCCCGCGGCGGCGCTCGGGCGGGCGGACTACTTGACGTGTCGGTGCGGCGAATTTATTTCACTTTGCCTAAGGAACGGGGTGTGCTGCGGCCCCCATTGCCTAGGGAAAAAACCCGGATGTAAAGTGAGTGAAACTAAACTAGAGTGAAGTAGGGCAGCAGCAGCCAAACTCCAGTGCAGCGGCGGCGGCGGCGGCGGTGATGGGGCTGAGCACGGAGCGGCGGCGGCCAAACTCCGGGGCCGCCGCAATGATGGGCCCGTGCAGCGCCGCAGCTCGGCTCCCATGTAGCTGCAGCCGAGGCGAGGCCGGAGCCCGCTGCGGCCCCCCCAACTCCGCGGCCCGAGCCCAACTCCCCCCTCCCGCCGGCAGGAGCTGCAAAGGGCTCCGGAGCGGCCCCAACTCCCTCTAGTGCAACAGCAGTTTTAAGGGGGGAAAAAAGCCGCGAGGGCAGGAGCGAAGGGAAGCAATGGGGAAGCACTGCAATGGGGGAGCGTGGTCCAGGCAACAGGAGAAAGATGCAACCTCAAGTCGAATGCAACATGCAATCCCCGGCCGCCGCTCGCCCGCTCCCTCCCCTCGCCACCCCGCCCCCTTTCCAAATAACTACCCTTGAACCACTTTATTAGCCACACTTAGTCCCACACTCGCGTCAGGGAGGGGCGGGGGACGGGGTCCTTCCCTCACCTTTATTTATTGCTGCTTTCTCCCCCCTCTCCATGTTTTTTATTCTTAAGTTCTTTTGTTCTAAGGGGGATGATGGCATTTACTTTTCTGCTTTGTGTAGCAGGGCAATCACTGGGAATCGGCCACGTATAATCCGGCGGTTTGTCATATTTTATTAGTGAAAGTATTTTATGCCTATTCTACCTCCAAGGACTGTAACATGGAGAACTGCAGGGAGGAGAAAAAAAAAAATATCAGAGGAATTCTTGTTTTGAGAGCTTTCTTGGCGGGGAGGGGAGGGCCCCCTCTTTTTTTGTTGGGGGTTTATTTAGATTTTCAAATCGATAGTTTTCAACTTAAAGCTTGATGTTTTTGTATGGATATACTACTAGATTCTAAAATAACCCCCAGCCACAATAAAGGAAAGAAAGTCCAGAATCCTAGATTAAAGGAAAAAATCCCTACTGGACAGTGATATTATCTGGTCTGTGCAGCACGATGGACTTAACGTAGTGTTGGCCTTCGAATGTTAAATAACAATAAACCCCAACCTCAACTGAATACAAATGGGGGGTGGGAGTGGTTTTGTTTTTAAGGCTCAGCACTTTTGTAGCATCTGCCACTACGCATTTTCCAGGCATTGATTAGCCATGCAAGTCCCATAGGCATGAAGTCCAGTTTTTGCAGATAAAGAGCAACAGTGGTGAGATGATTTGCCCAAAGTCAAAGTGAGTCATTGACAGAACCAGAAATAGCCTTAGACTCTGTTTGTTACTAGTCACATCTTTCCCATTAAATAGTATTTCCTCCAAGAAATAAATAGTATTTAAAAATAAATAGACGTTCTTTACCTTGTTATGCATTTCCACCAGAGGTGCTTTGAGATCCTTGGGTATGAAGGTGTTGTTTTCTTACTTCTGTGACCTGCAAAATTAAGTTGAGTTTCTCAAGAAAAAAAAATTTTTTTAATTCTGATTTCTTAAAGCTTAGGAAAAATATGGGCTTTCTTTTACATGTGTAAGCCATTTAGTACTCTGAGCTTTATATTTTAAAAAAAAATTCACAGTGTGTAAGAGTTTGGGAACGCAAATGAAAATCCCTATAAATGATTCAAGAAGCCTGGATGAACTCATAATGTTGTGAAACTGAACCCATAACACAGTCAAGATGAATAATGGAAGGACAAGTTGGGTAGTGAGACCCAGCTTTGCCACCTAGAGATAACTCTAATGTATTTAAAAGATGAATTAAGTCAGGGCCTTTCAAACTGGACCAGCCAGGCACTGGAACCACAACCTAATGGGGTCATTTCAAATCAGCCCAGGCTGTCAAAAAAAAAATTTTTTTAGGGCAAGACCGCTTTAGTGTTCTTTCTGGAAAAAAAAGTTAAAAATGTTTCCGAATTTCATAGAAAAAATTTAGAAACTCACATGGTGCCTGAGTGTGTAAATGGTACAGAAGAGGAGCCAGTAAACTTTTCTCTGTAAAAGCCCAAATCATAAATATCTTAGACTGCAGACCATGGAGTCTTGGTCACAACTTCTCAGCTCTATGCACAAAAGCAGCCATAGAAAATATGTAAACATATGAGCCTGGCTGTGTTCTAATAAACCTTTTATTTATGGGCCTTGACATTGGAATTTCATGTACTTTTCTTGTGTCACAAAGTATTCTTTTAATTTTTTCAACCATTGAAGAAAAATGTTAAGGCATTTTTAGCTTGCGGGCTCAGCCAAGGGGGTGAGCAGGATGGCCCACGGGCTGTGTTTTACCAACCCTGGCTTGAGAAGACTAAAGTTGACAAACATTAAGATGTTTGTTTATCAAGCAAACATCACTGTCATACAAAATCATGTTTTAGATATTTACATTTAATTAAAATATTTTAACCAATTGTCTTAACACTCCTATAACTATCAAACTCTATGGAAAGGAAGAGCTGTGATTCATTGATAGATAATGTTTCCATTTACATACTCTCTCCCTTTCTAATATGGTATGCAGAGGAACCAAGCTGACCCACATTCAGGCACCTGGATAGTACCACTCCTTTCCAACTAAGACACCTTGGGCAAGTTACTTCACCTTTGAAATCCTCAGTTTTCTTAATCTTGTAGAACGCAACGGCGTCATTTATTTTGTAGGGTTGTTGAGAAGAAGGAATAAAATAATTCATGTGAAGTGCTTGGTACAATGCCTGGTACATGGGACTGGATAATACATGCTTTCCCTTTGCCCTCAAATTCATTTCCTGAGCTAACATACCTCTGCAGTAAGTGAATGCTTCCCAATATCTTGTCAGCGCAGATGTGGGCTATGAAGTCCACGGATTCTTGGGTGAGTCAAGGTTATGGAGTCGCTATTTTTTGTGATACATTTTGATGGGACTGTCTCAGTTTCTTAGCATGCCAGTCATGGGCACTTGATAGACACACACTAGCTATATGGCCTTAGACAGATACTTAAGCCTTCTGCACCTTGGTGTTTCTCAAGCACAAATTAAAGACAATCCTGGTTGGATTTTTGAAAGGGTTATGTAGCATAAATACTAAAGAAAAAAAGGCTAACAGTGAGTATAAGTTAGTGAAAAATCTGAGAAATAAGCTGAAAATGGAAAGTTTGCTTTCAGAAGCTCCTTTGAAGTAAATCATTCAACTTCTGGACACCAATGACATAATAATAATAGCAGGTGCACAGTAACTTAGAATCTTTCCTAAAACCTGTTTACTCCCCCAATAGCCATCAAAACCCTGTTGAGCAAAAGTAAACTCAAATTTCGAGTGCTTTTAAATATTGGAGTACAGTTTTAAAATTTGTATTAAAAGTGGTCAAATCTACCTGTGATTTCTATATGTATTCCTGCCTTTCATTCCATGCTTCCAGAGGTCACCCAAACTCCAAGATTAGAAAAATAACTATAATTTTCTTCTTGTATTTTTATGGCTTCTATTTTTTACATTTACCTTGTTACCATGTTTATGTATATATATACATGTATATTACCATATATACATGATAATAAGGTAATAATTATATATATATTTGCTGTAAGAGGAAGGAGGTAGGAATCTAACTTTTATTTGATAGAAAATGTTTAATATCGGGATTCTATTGGGTAATATAAAATGTCATTCAAAATGATAAAACAACCCCCTATGAGGACTATCAGTCTAATGCAGAGATACTGTAAATATAGGAAAAATAGAAGCTTATACTAATATTACACGGAGGTATTATGTGTTATAATACAAAACGAAGTTTCTTATAAATTTTCTTATTTTACAGTTTTGTAATAGTAGAGTACACACTGTACCCGTGGATAGTAAGGTGTTTTGTGTTTGTATTTGTACATGATTGTTCCTGATGTTCTGATGGTATTTGAGAATATTTCAAATAAGGTAATGAAACGTCCCCCCAAAGGGCTAATTGAACAAGCTTTCTTTTTTTCTTTTTAATGTTTATTTATTTTTGAGAGAAAGAGAGAATGAACGGGGGTGGGAGCAGAGAGAAGGCGACAGAGAATCCAAAAGCGGGCTCCTAGATGACAGCACAGAGCCCACTGAGGGGCTCAAACTCAAGAATCAGGAGATCATGACCTGAGCCAAAGCCTGATGCTTAACCGGCTGAGCCCCCCAGGCAAGTTTTCTTAGCCAACTCCCCTCGCCTGTCCTGTTCACTCAACTACTATCCTT